CGAAATATTATTATTATATGTTATTTAATATATTATTATATGTTATTATATAATATTTAATTAGTTTTTGACATTCAAACTGTCACAATACATAATTCCTTTGATGACGCTCTTAACTCGTGGTAACCAGGTGGAATAAGCAAGGACTCGCATCGTGAACAAAATAATCAATCGGGGGACAAGGAGAAAACACGCCTTTTTTAAGATAAGATGGCCATAGTAACCATCTTTAATACTGTATTACGCGTTGGTGTCCTCACCCTTGGGAAGAAATCGTAAACCCGATGAAGGTCGGCTATTCAGTTTCGTGGCTTGATTAACGATACAACGACGAATTCTGTCAATTTCGTGCTCGAAACAAACGTGGAGGGATTAATAGGTGTGTCATTGTGTACATCGGAGTATGAAAATCGCTGGACATTGCCTCCTACCATGACCTACTAACATACAAATAGTAGAACAACTGAACCTTCGTTATGTCAAATATTCGCGCGATGTTTCGCTTTTACATTTGCTTATATCCAAAAATGTTTACTGCATTTCCTGCGCGATTTTTCCTACTAAATGAAGCAACGGTATCACAGCTGGAGATTTCATTGAGCTATACTGGAATAATGGACTCGATTGTAATAAATTTTTTATATTATTCTATAGTGGATATATATAACAAAAAAGTAAGCTGAGCAAAAAAGGAAACAAATATAAAAATAAATTAAAATTCACTCTTATATAACATATTTAACGTAATAGAAACGGAAAATATCGTATTCAATACGAAGCGACTCCTTTCATTTTTTTCGATTTGCTCAAATCAAAATCGTGATTTGCTTAATCGTGCTTTTAATCGTAGATTTGTATTTAATGCAAATAGATATTCGATTGATTCTTACTCAAAAGTTAAATTTTTTAAATGTATTATGTAGATGATTTCTATACTATATTACTATACTATATTATTCAAGAAAAATGTTCTGCGTATGCTTCCATCATGCTTGGTCTCTTCTATTATTTTTCCACATTATGCGAGAATAATTTCGTGAAATTGCATAAGTAACATGGAAAAATACATCTCTCCTCTCCGAGTGGAATTATCTGCTAACAGATGTATCTGATATCTCTGTGATTGCATTACGATTATAATTGCATTTCATGTAAGATTTGATTTTATCTTGATTTACGGGCAAATTAAGTTTTCGGCGAAACAGTTTCCTGATGGTTTCTAATGTTTCAATTTACTACCGGCTATGACTTACGACTTCACAATGCACTCTTCCGCTAATGTGTACCGTAATAGTGAAAGGAAAGCCTTAAAATTGATCGCGACTACCAGTGTAGCGATTTAATATTACGACAAGGTAGCGAACGCATAGGATGCTGTCCGACGTGGACGAAACAAGCGCTTATTCATGAGTCGCAACTCCGTAGACAATTTCAATGCATTCCATGTGCATATATATATAGGGTGTCCCAGACTCTCCTCCGCACTTTTTGTAGATTGAAGTGAGATAGAAGTCCTACACCATTTTGCGATATTTGCAATAAATCTCGAGATACCAATAAGATTGGTAAATAATCACGCGTGATATGGTAGATGAGCACCGTCTATCGTTGTATATTTATACATTAGATCAAACTAAACCATTTTGCTCTACCATTTTGCAAATTACCACGTAGATTTTTAGATATTAATTAAATAAGATTTGTGTATTATCGCACAAAATCATACACGCAAAAAAAATTTCAGTTGATGCAACCAAATAAGAATCAACTGAAAATTAGGTGATCAGAAGCGATATCTCTGTTATGAAAACTAATATTTCTGTTGTCGCAACCGAAAATATTCGTCTGAACATTCAACGATATTAGAACTCGGTTGAGGCAACTAAGAACAATTGACTATACAAAAGCCTCATAAAGGAATTTTTCTGTTCCTACAGAAAAAGCCGAGTTTTCGTCTGATCCTTGAACAACCGAAAATTCGGTTGCACCAACAGAATTGTTTTTTCCGTGTATAACAATTTTTTTCATTGATAACTAAAAACTTACGTGGTTATTTGCAAAATGATAAAAGGCTTTATTGTTCAATTTGATTTAATCAAATTACAAGCACACAACAGCACACGTCGCTCATCTACCATATCGCGCTTGATTATTGACTAATCTTCTTTAATTAATATCTCGACTATTATTGCAATAATCGCAAAACAGTATAGGACTTTTATGTTCACCTTAATCCGTCCTATGTGCCTACGAAAATTGCGGAGGAGGGACACCCTGTATATTTCCATTCCGCGAAAGCCTTTAGAAACGCTACGCTGTTGACGCTTGATGATAAACGCATGCGTTATCTTGCCGTAATAGCTCAGTTGAAGTGTCCGTTGAACATTTACGGTAACAAGCGTGTATTATGCGCAAGACAAACAATTTAATCGGTAACTAAAGACGCGCAATTGTGTCTCGAGTTAGCGCACGCGTCGATTTTCTGATTACATTTGCAAAATTGCAACTCGTGTAACCAACTACAATCGCGAACGTTGATTGGCGTGTACTGCGCGATAAAAAAAAATATCTCCGCTCACGCGGGGCTCTCCGTAATTGCGAATCGGCTGATGAGCATTGACGGAATCGCCGTCGAAAGGAAATAATCCTGTTTACGCCATTCCATTGATTGGAATACAATTACCGTGATCACATCGGCGGAATTTTCTCGATTCGAGCACGTTAGCGCGTTTTGCTCTTCCTTTTCCGATTTTGCGCGCTGGCGCAATTACTCTCCCGAGAGATCTACACGTTGGTCGCTTTTAATCCTCTATGTCGTATCAGCTGCGAATGTATTTATCGTACGCAATGATCACTCGGTACCGTTACGGTCTTGTGAGCACACGAAGTTAGCTGCTCTGAATGTGGCGGACGTCCGGTACAGCTTTTCATATATTTCTCCCTCCGGGGAGGCGTGATATTGATTAACGATGTTTTTATTATTTCGCATACCGAGTGAACGTCTAGGCCTGTCTATTTCGCGTTCGGCTTGGCACACGCACACGCAACGAGTTCACAAGAAAAAGTTAACTCAGTTTTATAAACATTATGTAAATACATGTTAGAATGTACATCAACACGATATGCGAATGAATGTCGAAACATTATTTATTATGTCGCAATGTAATTGCATAGAGTACGTGACATAAAATCCAACAAGAATATCAATGAATTCCAATAGATGAATGCCAGTCATTTTTATACGAATCAGTGACATAATTCATATAGCATCATTTTCAAACAATGGTTGACATATCAACTTTGCAACATCGATAACGTCGCTTTTCACTCTGACCTCGTTTACAATAGGCGCGCATTAGTGCGTAAGAGTTTTATTTTGTATCTAACAATTCCCTTTCTGACTGCGATTTGCAGTATTTCCGATTTTTGCAGTCACACTTTGAGAAACGTAAAAGACACTTTATTATTGAATAGAATTAAATATAATTTAGTTCAATTTTGTTTTAATTTTGCTATCCACATTTTTTTTTATTTCGTCATGGACTTCAGCAACCCCTTAACGTGTATCCGTTTAGAAATATCTGACGGAGATTATTGTTGATATAACTAAGTGTTTAATATTTGAAACAGATTCTACAGATCTGTATGCATGTATATTTGACAACGCGAATAACTATTTACACGACTATGACTAGTCTTACGGAGGAAAAAAAGCATATACATGCTATATGATGTCACTGTTGGTTCTCTTCCTTGTCTCGCACGATTGCCACAAAGGACTCTTATTTCTGTTTAAAATCGTATAAGCGGATGAATAAACGGATTTGACGTTAATGAACGGATACACGTTTTCAAAAGTACGTGTAATTGCGATTACTTTATTATACGTGTCTGTGAACGTATATGCTAAATATATATTTGAACGTTATTTTTTTTAGTTTAAACGTATAATATAGAGCCCTAATTTACGATGAGCTCATGTTTTGAAGCATTTCACTATAAAATATCGCGGGCATTGTGTCTACGAAACTCGTAGAATCAATTTAGCCGTGACACATTTGTAGCTGATTTTACCCGGCTCGTTCCGAAGCGCACATTGTAGGAAGATCCAGCTGTTACCGATTGTTCGCTCATACCGCTCTCAGTTACTCGGTTGCGTCGCGGTGAAATAGCAGCCGGTTGAAAGCGAAATTACGCGATAATTCGTCTCCCGTGTTCCTCTCTTTTCCCCGTTCCAAACAAAACCTGTTTTGCATGCGTTTCTGTTCGCGCGAGCCGGCACATCATCGGTTTATTAATATCCGTGATACTTCGAAATTAGCCCGTAAATCCGCCAGGCACTTCTCAAGCGTAACGAACGAACGAGCGTGCGTGTGCGTGCGTGCGTGCGTGCCTGCGTACCTGCGTGGGATGCCGGGGCGTTTCAAGCAGCGTAACACCGGTTGTCATCGCAGAATCGAGGAAGCGTCGGCGCGCGCGTCACATCCGAAACGCGCGCGGGTAAAAGTGAAGATACTCGAAAAGAGAAAAGAGCGCACCAGGTGGTCGATGCCTCCGCAGTTCATTCACACAAGAAGGAAGTCCGGGGAGGACGAACCTGTCGGGGAAAGAACGACGGGTCTCGTCCGTTTTTACGACTCGAGAGTGGCGAATCTCCGGCGCGTCGCGTCCGCTAACGTGATTTATAGGCGAAGCATATCGCGGATTTACTGCTAATAACTTATTCTTGCTTTCGAGACTGTCTAGATGAGAGAACGCATAATTTTCTTAGTTAGAGCAACAGTTGATTTACGCCCCCTTATGAAAAGCATCCGAGTATTGTGGGATAATTCATTCTAATGCGAGGGATATGAAAATATGCAGGTTTCTTTCTCGTAAAGTAATGTCATGTCACATCGCGTGTGTGTTTGATGTGCGATTTTCATCTAGAAGTATTTCCGCGTGTGTGGATTTGTCGTGCAATTAATATCAGTTTTAACAGCTTTTGTTTTTTATTGCAGATGGCGTGGCTCTGTTTACAAGCTAATCTGGCGGGAACTACTGGCGTACCTGTTTGTTTACTACCTCATCAATTTCACGTATCGATACCTACTCAATGACCAACAGCGGGTGTGAGTATATTGGAATACACCTGGAACTAAATAACTTCCCGTACATACGGAAAGAATAACTCCGTCAGTGTAACTGGATTTTCTATTTCTGGGGGCCAGATTGAAAATTCAGTTGTAGGAATAAAAAGATTCGTGTAGGAAAAGTTTCTATTCCAGCCAATTGCTCTCAGGACAGTATTAATAGTCCCATTTGAAACTTGTCCTATTTGAAATACTCAAATATGAATTTAGAGTTATTGGTGTTTTTATTTAAAGCGATATTACATTTACAATTGTAATACAGCTGTAAAATTCATATATCTAATTCTAAATTCAAATATAAATATTTCACATGAGGCCAATTTCAAGTAATGACTATTAATATACCTCAGTTACCTCAATTTAGTTAAAGTTGTACTCAACTTAGTTTAGTACAGCTTTAATACAGCTGAGTTCAGACAAATATTTTCGGTTACAGTAACGTAGATATTATTTCTCGTCGGCGAATTTTTCATTTGGCTCCTATTGAGTTGCCCTAATTGAACTTTTCCTTCCGTGCATAGAGAAACAATTTCTTTAGTATAACTGAATTCTCTGTTACTTGGAGACTTGATTGAAAATTCAGTTGTAGGAACAAAAAGATTCCTCTTTAGGGGGTTTTTACGCAGCCAGTTGCTTTCAGTTATCTCAATCGAGTTTTGATACGGCTAGATGTCCAGACGAATATTTTCACAATAATAGAGATATTATTTTACATCTCAGCTTTTTCGCCCCACTCAATTATCTGAACTGAAAGTTTTTTCCACGCATAAATATCATTCTTTACGAGTAAGCGGAAGGTTGGGACTGCGAGCAGGAAAATATATGTCGCAATAAAACGCATCCTCACCGCGGTATTGAAGCGAAGTGTGTCGTACACACAATTGGCCATCTATATGCTCAAATAGCTGACATTTCAGAGCATATTTTGTGGTATGATAGTATTTAAAGTAGTACAGTTGTCTTTGTTATGATTTGAAAATAAAAAGCAGTAAAAGTATTTTCAGTGCAATATGTCTTTTTACTTTTGTGAAGACAAGAATGCAACGCAAGCACATGAGAAATTTTTGAAAATTTGATAAGAATCTGATAAGAATCTATTCAGAATCGATTTATTTATTCTCGAACGGTGCTTGGATCCCTCTGTCGAATCAGACAGATATGTTTCGAAGTTCACACAAGAACAGCGGATAATCTTTCTGTCCGCGATCACAAATTCCTATAATTTCGATGCGCATATGCGAAAAGAGTCTCATCATAAAAAGATATTCATAATTTTTTGAAAAATTTAGAAGAATCTATTTAGAATTTATTCTCTAACGGTGCTTGAAAGAATTCCTCTGTCGGACAAGACAGATTCGAAGTTCACACAAAAACAGTGGGCCATCTTTCTGTATTCCTACTTTCCGATATATTCGATAAAAGAGACTCATCTAACAATACTGTTGTTATTCAGTGTTGAAGAGAGAAAAAGTATAATCGTGACCGACAAATGTTTATCTGCCGATCGCATGACAGGAGAACCATAACGTAGACTCCCGCGTGTTCCGTTGATCGCCAACAATTTCTTCGCTTTCTTATCGTGGCTAACACCGAATTCAACGATCGGCCGGCCACGATGCATGGACATATCTCCCATAAACGTATTTTATGGGTGTAGATAAACCCGCGCGATATCGACCTTGGCCCGCTGGCAAATCTGAAGGTTCCGGCACCTCGATCACGGTCGCGTTTCATACGGCTGAGAGAGCATTTACGATACGCACCTTCCTTTTATTAGTATTCATTGCCGTATTTTTACCATGCAGGACACTCGGTAACCTTTCTTTCGTTCGCCTTCGCGACGTTCGGTTCGATTCGAGATCGATCGTAGAATTGCAGAATCAGAGACGCGAAGGTCGTACACTTGAATAAGTAATATAATCCATAAAAGTAGACAAAAATGTTGGATGTTACTTTGTGATAATATTAAGACTTCTGGCTATTCGCTACGGTTATCTTGATCTATGACGTCAGAAGCGAGCAATTGCACTGGAAAAATTATTTCTGTATTTTTTATTTCCAATTCGCTTTACGATTTGCCCCAAATTAAGGGGCAAAAATTAATTAGGGGCTAAAATTAATTTAGTAAAGTTTGTGACTTAATAATGACTTGAAGGGTGTGAGCCCAACAGGCTTTATCCTTTTGTTTTTCTTTCTATGTTAGAAAACCTTGCAGAATTTTTAATCTGCGAAGCGGTTTTGCCGTCATGAGGTTGGCTACAAGAATGTTTGGATGAGCCTCCAAACGATATCTTTGACTGTAGCTCTTACACTGAAAAAGGGTTGACAAAACTAAAATTTCGTTTCGACAACAAAATCTTTTTCTTTTCAGAATGTATGTTCAAAATTCTTGCAAGATACGTCGAAACAAAAAATATACCAAAAATTGATGAAGCGATCGATTGAGTACACCATTAAAATATATCCAACACTTTAAAAATATATACTTTCCTCTTGCTCAAGCAATTAATAAATAACCTAAAAATTAATGTAACATGCACAGAAAATTTGGTTGGATTAACCAAATGTCTGATATAATAGGGACGAACCAAAAATTCCGGTTAAAGTTACCAAAATTCTGTTCAAGATAACAAGATTCTGATTAACAAAACAAAGTTGTCTAGTAAATTCAACTGGAATTTTTCGTTCATATTTCACTAGAAAGATGTTTGGTTAATTCAACCAAACTTTTTCTTGTGTATCACTTTCTATTTTTATCCTATAGTTATATCCTATAGTTTCCTTATTATTTTGTCACTCTAATTTTTACGGTTATTTATTGATTGTTAAAACGGGAAGAAAATGTCAGCAATATTTAAAAAGATGTGCTTAATCGATCACAAGTGTTATTTTTTGGATATATCCTTTCATTTCGACGTACCTTGCATTGATTTCTTCGCTTCTCGCATCACAAATTAAAATGGCCACGGCGAATAGTCAGGGACCTCAAAAACATGTACATCAAGAGATGCTTCCACGAATTAACGTACTAATTCTGCCAACTGCAGTTTCATGATGTTTTTATTGTTTTACTATTTGCATGATAGATAGAGACGTTGCATCTTCAACGCACATTTGTATATTTCTGTTGCAAGTCATTAAACAATCGCTGTGGGTGACTGAACCGAAGGACAATCGGTCGACCTCTGCGGTGAATACAAATGAGTGTTCAACTGCAAGTATAACCACAGCGTATACTCGAGTACGCGTACTAGACGGCAAGCTCACTTGTGTTATCGCGGAGCACGAGTTATAGGTGATGTTATCTCGCCACATGTGACAAATTTGCATTTGAAAAAATTACATGTGCGGTCTACAAACGCACCCGCATCCAAACGCAAACACGACGATCTTTTTCCCACGAGTCTCCAGAGCAGATTAAATGTTAACGCAATTGTTCCGACGCGATTGAACTCATTTCGATGAATTCGCGCGGTGACTCTTCGTGGAGGTTCTTTTGACGCGTCCTGTACAAGAGGCCACTTCTCGTGATACATCACGGGAAGCGTCGGAGATGCGTCCACGGTCGTGGCGTTAAAAAAGGCATAAAAACTGTAGCCAGTTATTTATGCGGGACCGAAAAAGAGAGATAAAGAATCGTCAAAGGAGCGCATGAGGATGTAAAACGATTTCTCCTTCAAATCGCTTTGATTCGCCTGTGCTAAATTTAGACTCGTAGGGCGGCTTAAAGCGGGTTCAGGGTCCGGTGTGCCCAAAGGATGAGACCAACGATCTGGCAAAATAGAACGAGGTATGGCATGCTCACGCACGCACGCACGCGAAGATCCGCAAGATTAATCGTTCCCCGTTAAAATTCCAGGATCCTTCTCGTGCGCCGATTTATCAGGAGTCGCTATCTTCTTTCTTGGGGATGGACAATCATCGTGTTTAAATATATTCTCGCGAAAAGTATCTCCAACGTGGAAAAAGGATGTCAGTTCGTACTGAATAGAAAAATTTAGGTGAAAATTCGACGACATGAAATGATATCTCTGTTGCTGCAACCGAAAACATTTGTTCGAGCATTTAGCTGTATTAAAACTTGGTTGCAACTGAGAATAATTGGCTGAGTAGAAATCACCTACAGGAATCTTTCGATTACCAAGCTTATCATCTGTACACTGAAAAAATGAATTTTGTATTTGAAATTAAAAGATTTGGTGGACATTACATATTTTTACTTGTATGAGGTACATGTATTATTGAGAAAGCAAAACACACATAGCGACAATTAAATTTTTGGTTGCAGTTACCAAACGTTTGGTTGATCGCGTTTTGACTAGATTATGGTTCGATTTAACAAATTCTTGTTTCGACAACAAAATCTTTTTCCAGTGTGTAGACCAATTCTGTAACTTTTAACGACAGTATCGTTATCTTTATGTTATCATTGCGTAACGTTTGTATCTATGCAACGATACACCATTGAGTTGCTAACGACATTGGAGTTTTGTGAAGTTAAAGAATCAGCTTACTGAGCCGCTACACTGAAAAAATTATTTGTATTTGAAACTCAAATAATTGGTACATACGATTTGGTTGCTATTATCATAATTGTTATTATGTGCGCAAATTAACTCGGTCTTTTACCTTTAATAAATCATAATTCTGCTTTAAATTCAAGTATCTTCCTGCCATTTAAAGTACACACACACACACACACACACACACACACACACACACACACACACACACACACACACATATATATATATATATATATATAGGGTGTCCGTCCATAAATATCCGAGCAATTATCTCGTAACTGGTTGAAGTTACAAGAAAGTTTAATAAGCGAAATTTACATGGCTCTTAGCTACAAAATGCATATAAACATTTTTTTTTATTCGTGACCTTTTCGAGTTATGAAGGTCAATGTAACTTTTTAAATGGATACCTATAACTTTTTTTGCATATTTACATAGTAGAGGTAATTTGCAATCAAAATTATGCAATCAAAATTCGATAAAATATTGCTACTACGCATATGTTTATTATATAATCGGCATGTTAAGTTTTAAAGTAATAAATTATATTAGGAGTATTTTTGAATGTTAAATAAGTTGGAATGTAAAGCAAGTTGAGAAAGTAAACAATGTTTTTTCATGAAACATTTGTTAACACAAATTGCTCAAAATTTTTACCATTATGATCGATGTAGCATTCAACACGTTTTATAATGTTTCTCATTGTTAATTGCAGCATTTCTATTGTAATATTTTCAACAGCTCTAGTGATCTTATGTAAATCTTCTTCATTTTTAGGAATAGTTGTATAAACAATATCCTTAATATACCCCAAAGAAAACAATCGCAAGGTGTCCGGAGATTGCATAATTTTGATTTCAAATTACATCTACTGTGTAAATATGCAAAAAAATTATAGGTATCCATTTAAAAAAACTACGTTGATATTACCTTCATAACTCGGAAAGGTCACAAATAAAAAAAAATTTTACATGCATTTTGTAGTTGATTAAGAGCCATATAAATTTTGCTTATTATACTTTCTTGTAACTTCAACCAGTTACGAGATATTTGCTCGGACATTTATGGACGGACACCTTACATATATAAGAGTCGCGATAGCTGTCAAAAATATTCGATTGTCGCGTCGTTATTCGCGGAACCGTGCATAGAACGATTATCAATTTCTCGCGCCTATGATATTGTATGTTTAAGTAACGGTAAGTCAATATTATCTCAAGAGTGCGAATACGGTACCAGTTGCTCGTGGAAATTCCGACATAAACCCACTTACCGAAAGATCCCGGAATCGCGTGTCGATCGTGTCGATCGGGGCTGATGTGTGAAGTCGTAAAAATGAGCATGACTATACTCTTCACACGATGGCAATTACAAACACTTTGTAGCGGCATGTGCATCGCGGGGTAATGACCGATATCGACGTGTGAGAGAATCGGACTTGTCTTGAAATACGCTTTCGATAGAGCAGATTTGAGATCCTTTCCTCGCGATCGATCGAAGTGAAAATTTCCGTTCGCTTTACTGAACGATCAGCATGTGTGGCCGGTAGCGGCGTCGACGAGTGACAGTATCACCTCAACCTTGCTCTACTTATAGGCGAGTTCATATAGGAAATACTAATGGCTCACGTGTAATAAACTACAGCGATATTTTAGCGTACGCCGGTATCTCGAATAGCTCAGCCTTCTCTCATTCTTCGAAATATCATTTTATCGTGTGATGTCGAGTGAATTAGTCACACCTACTTCACGCCGATTTATTATATTTGTATGTTAGCGCAATGATTTGCATATTGAAATAATATGGTGGAGATAATATAATATAAAAAAAAAATCATTTTATTCATAACTATATTTGAACTATTCACCTGCATTTTATACTAATCTATTATATTTGTTAATTAAACGGACGGTAGCGGGATGATTTAACATATCTAAAAATATATAATCTCATCTTACACGGAATCTTCTTAAGTATAAATTCTTCTTGAAACTAAAAAAAGAATATTCTAATTCCAGAAAAAGAATTTTATTTGCAAGGTGCTGTAATTTCATATTCTAAGTAAAACATTTTCTCACTTAACTGAAAAAGTATTATAATAAAGAGAAATAATATTATGCTTAGAATATTTTTGTTTTTGGCTTTAGAATGAAAGATAAAGTAGAAGAATCCTTTTAAGGTTATGTATAAAAGGATTTCGATAAGGATAAAATTATATTTTTTTTATATAATATAGTTAACGCAGATGTATGTATAAAAATTGATTTGAACAAAAGATAAGGTGATTAAATGCACGAAAAAAATTTGATTGGATAAACCAAATGTTTGGTGAATATGAATCAGAAATTCCGATTAAAGTTCAGATTAAAAATTAAAATTTTGTCCAGGATAAGAGAATGTTGAAATCAATAACGAAATCAAAAAATGTCGATAACGTAGAGACGATCGTCACTAATACAATTATGATATCCTTTACGTATTTCTTATACATATAGATTTTACGTAAATATATGTTACTTTTACCATATTCAGTAGGTGACCTGACCACGCATGTGCAGAAATCTTTCTGCAAACTTTTCTAACATTCTTAAACTTTTGAATTCAAATCCGAAAATGCAGCAATGTTCAACATTTTTTTGTTTGAAGCATCCGCATTTTCGGTATGTACAAGCTGCGAAACTTTTGGAAACATTTGAATGAGGCAAATATTATGCCAACTGACAATTTGAGATTTTACATAAAAAATTTTTTTCATCACATATTGAGTAATACTGCTGTCTATTTTTGTAAATACTTTCATTGCATAAAAACATTTGTATTCTATAAATAATATGATGTCAACTTTGTAGAAAAATGTCAGTATTCTGTCAATGAAGTTTTCATCTTCAACATTCCCTTAACAAGATTTCTGATTAATATCTTGTTTACTTAAATATAACATTTGTAACTTCAGCAGGGATTCTGGTTTGCTTGTATTTAACCAGACATTGGGTTAATCCAACCAAATTTTTCTTCTCCGTATAATTGTGTTTAAAAGGTGCTCTCCGTTTTTTGCAGAATTTTCGAGAAAATCCGTTATTATTTCGGTAACTCCAGCGAATCTATACCCATGTCTTTCGTCCTGGGTTTCTACGTGAGCCTCGTCGTGAAGAGATGGTGGGAGCAGTACAAGCTTTTGCCCTGGCCGGACAATCTGGCCCTCTTCATCAGCGCCGCTATTCCTGGAAACGTAAGTAGAACCTGCTCATCGGGACTGAGTTTCTTTTATTGGTTGTTACCATGACTAAAAATACAGTGGCACAACAGAACGGAAGGATAAACGCCATTCGCGAAGATACCGTCGCGGTCAAATGAAGCCATTAATCAAACATCTAAAGAAACTTTAAGCAATCTCTCTAACGAAGTGCCGGTTTCTACTTCTCTGAGAGGACAAAGACCCCTCCCGGCTGATTCTTCTTTCGAGAAGAAAATACGTTAATAAATGCAGCCTTGCTCCGAGTAGTCATGTCGCTCGTGTTGCGCTCGAGTCTCATTACGCTAATGAATTGCCGTGACACGTTTCGGTGTCGTTAACCTAAGTAGGTGCCAACCCAGTCATGCCACGCCCAGGAGCGAAAAAATGCGATACGATCATCTTTATAATTGGTGGTAAGCTCGCACTTTTGTTCTTTCGTGAAATTAACCTCGAGAAAACGCGCGCGCACACCACGAAATTTCCAGCGTGCTGTGTTATTTGCCAGAACCTTGGCACCAATTTCGTCTCCTTTGTACTTGTAATCAGCCTAATTGTGACAACAGTGCACATTTAGCGATAAAACTCATTCCCTTCCGAAGAGGAGACACACAGGTAAACGCAGATTAAACGCAATCACGTACATTGTTTAAACACAAAGATAGGGGATGTATTTGTTAAGCGTTAGAAGATCTTTAATGAATCATTATTATGATTATTAATTATTCAAAAATTATTTTCAAATAATCTTTTTTCATTGCAATAGCTGTTCCATCGGCGGTTTGTCATTAAATTATTAACACTGAGTTGATTGTTCAAGTCGCTCCATTAACTTGTTTTTAATTCTTTAACGGGAATAACGATGACATGGCAATTCCGAATGCGAAATAACTCGAATTTGGACAACGCAGCAGTTTCAACGCGAGCTTTCAGATCTGGTCAATGACACGAAGTGTCGAAGTGAAAGTGCAACGCGACGAGAAAGAAGGACGAACCTACGCGCGAGCGTTATGCATACTCGCGCACGATATCTTTCTTCCTCAGCGCTTCATCATTTTATCGATAATAGGGGTACTGCTAAAAAAGTGTATATATACACTGAGAGAAATGTCTAATGATACTAACCAGAATTCTATTTAGGTTTACCAAACGGTATGGTAAATAATCGTGTAACAAGATATTTAGTCAATGATACCAAACTATCTGGTAAACGCATTGTCTAAGTAGCATTACAGTAATGCTTAAATACGTTTATCAAACCGCCTGGTACAGCATACAATTAATTTTAGTAAGTGTTACGAATACAGTTGTGGAGAGATACAGTAATGTTAGACTTCTTACCTAACCTAAAATCTAACCATATTATATATAATTTTCATATACTTACTGTATATAATCTTCATATATTTACTTCTAAATTCGTCGACATATTTTAAGAAATTTCATTCTTCCAAATATTTAACGGTTTGCAGCGTTTACTCTTTTATAACATCGATGTCTTTACAAATTAATATAAATGAAAAAGGAAACATCGCAGCGAGTAATAATTAACTATCGCGTCAATAGTATCACATGTCTAGAGAGAATTACCAAACTGTCTAGATGTCTATAACTAAATGTCTCGGTATTGACTAGACAGATGCGTCGAGGCATCGTAATCGGAATATTGGATATGTGAACCAGATATCGCATATAAATTCACCGTATTACTTTCATAAGACGAGTATAGTGTCATTCACCAAACCATTTCTCTCAGTGTATGTAAATATAACATCCATTGTCTCCAAACCGTCGAGAAAATAACAACAATAATAAAAGTATAATAATAATACAAAAATAATAAAAAAAATAATAATAATATTAAAAATTATAAATAATAAAAATAAATAATAAGAAAATAAAACTAGTGCTTGAACACTATAACACTGATTTAATTTTAGATATCCTTTTGGTTTTGGTCTTTTAAGTACTTTTTAATATTTACTTTCAATATAAAATATGTAGAGTATCTGACATATGATAATCTATGAAATTCTCGTGCACGTATAGATTAGGTCAAACTGAACAAAAAAATGTCTCTATTATTTTGCAAACAACCACGTAAAATTTCGAGTTAAATAGTTACGTCATGCGCTATGCGGTAAATGAGTTGTAATCGCGACGCCTATGTTAGAGTAGGTTGAATTGAACAAAAAAGTTCTTTATCATTTTGTAAATAACCGTGTAGATTTTTAAATATTTAAAAAAGATTTGTGCACACACATTATCACGCACAATCATGAAAATTTTCTTTCATTAATAACTAAAAATCTACGTGATAATTTGCAAAATAATAAAGAACATTTTTGTCCAATTTAACCTAATGTATAAGTAACAATACATTTTACCACTACAGCTCATCTACCATATCGCGCGTGATGATTCACCAATCTTCTTTAATTAATATCTCGAGATTTATTTATTTATTTTTGCGAATATCGCAAAACCGGTATAGGACTTTTATGTTCATCTCAATCTATTCTACGTCTCCACAAAAATTGCGGACGAGAGTTTGAGACACCCTCTATACTTTACTACGCGAGTTTACGAGATACGCAAGCGCTATATCGTAATGTACAACGCGAATAGAGCCGGTGAGAGTCGGCCGGTTATCGTTAAGTGATTTAATCGTTTCTTTATGTAACCGTCCTATCCACCTTCCTTATTTAGAGACGTGTAACAATTTCATATACTAGAGCGTGTGTCCAAATGCAACGATTTTCGAGAAAGTACGGAGAAAAAGCGGCTCGATTACACGATGTCCCGTGCGCGGCTACGTTTGTTGAAATATCATTATGGATCTTTAAATGCGTGGCTAATCGGAGTGTCGGCTTACGTCGCGGAACGTGATGGAACGCCGGCTTGTTTTCACGGCTTTCGTGACGTTTATTATTATTTATATCGCAGCGCGCCGGAAAGATACGAGCACCTGCGCAACCGCGTAAATTCCGCCGTGCATTCCGCTCGCCTCTATCTTCCGACCGTCATCGGAACTCCGACAACGTCTCCTCGCAAGAGAGACTTTATCGCGCGTTTGCGCACGACGTAGCAGCTTCCTCGATCTCCTCTTCACCGGTCATTTACGGCCCCTTCATGCGCGACGCGGTTGTCGTTTTCATCGACGCATTTGTGTGGCCCGTCGATTGATCGACGATGATGTATGTCCGATTGAGTCGGAAATCGCGCACGTTGTTGCCATAGACATAATATATAGATTGAAGGTTTGGTTGAGAAAGTGTACAGAAATTAGAAAGAGCAAAATGCTTTGGACTAGAGACGGGACATCGAAAAGAAATAATCGATTATAACTATAATCGGTATCGATATCTCTACTTTGGACCCCCTATCTATCCTTGTCTCTTACAAGTAACACTAACTAAATGCCATACGCCGATCTTCTTAAAACTTTGCATGTAGTATATCGAAAAACAGTAGATTAGAACAATGTATTTTTTTATTTTGGCTAACAAGGCATTTTAAGGTTAGAAAACGCATTCGAAAATTTAACACTCTATAGTACCATGATAACTAATGTTATTCCTGAGTGTTATTCTTTTACAGGTTTACGACATTACTCTATTATAATTTCATTGTCTGAATGTTTCTGAAGTCGCTAATTATGATTTTGACATTAGTTTTGCGAGATTCAAAATGGCGGACCGAAATCGCAGATATTTCAAAGACTTTATTCAAAGTTTATTTTTTATTCAAAGAATAAAGTCCTTATTCAAAGACTTTATTTAGTTTTGAAGAAGTTTTTTAGACCCATGATTACGATTTTGGCATCAGTTATATCAATCTAGAGGTTCATCAGTTATATCAATCAAGCTGTAAAAGAATGACGCTCAGGAGTAGCGTTAGTTATCATTGTGCTA